ATGTGCTCCAAGGCTGTGGCCAATTAAATCAACATTGGCTGGAGAGTATCCGTATTTTTCCTGAGAAAATAGCAATATAAAAGATTACTACATCTGTTTTCATCGTTAACAGGGAAGAGCAAAAAGGGGCTGGAAAACTACTTTTAATTTGACTGCAGACTCAGGAACTCCTATAGGTTTTCAGCATCTGTTTGCCAGTTCATGTGCTTATATCCAATACATAGATTTTTCAAAACTCCTTATTCAGGTGCTGCCCTCATTTGAAGGCTGTTAAAACTCGATACAGCTCTATCAACAGAGTCCTGAGAGGCTCTGTATCCCTTTCACATCCTAGACTCATTCAAATTCACAGGATGCTAATCTGGCTTGCAAGATTCAGCCAGGCAGGAGCTCTTAGTTACACCTGGTGGGTCAAGCACCTCATGCAGCTGGAGGAGGACATGAGAGGGGAGATGCCTTCAACCTTTTTGGACAGTAACTCAGTGGCTGCAATGCAGAAGTAGAGTGTGAGACATGGGTCAGAGCGCTCCTAGAGCCAGCGTACTATCTATTTAAGTTATTTATAGTTCTTTTTGTGGGAAACGTGTGTTGAAAGCACTTAAATTAAACGAAGGCTTCAAACCAAGCGTCGCTTCCCTTGTGAAGCTGGTTAAGAAAGGGGGCACATGGCACCTTCCGTAGACGTAGGTACTGTGCACAGTGGCTTTCCCTGAGGCAGCTGGCTGGGTCCCATCTGTCCCCAGGTGGTGTTGCTCACCCCAGAGCAGTTGTCCTCCAGCCGCTGCTGGCTGCCAGCTGGTTTTCTGGCATTCTTAAGAGCCATTTGGTAGGCTTTGTCTCTGTGAAAAGGCAGTTTGCTGTGTCCATTATCTCTGCGTATTTAAAACTACGTAATGCTTTACATCTGTTAACATCTATGGAATAACTGTGTGGCTGTACTATGGGGATATCTTGCAGTACTTCATAGGCCTAAGCTGCTAACCCTGCTGTTACGACACAGTTCTCTAACTTAGAGTCTGTTTTCAGCACAACTCCTACAATGATCACTGAGTAAAGAAAGTGCTTTCTGCTGCTTACATTCACGAAAGTTCCTGAATCGTATTTCTTTCAAATCAGCATTATAACTATAGCTTTATAACCAGAAGATTCTTACCATAAGAACATTTATAAAATAAGCTATTTCAGCGCCCACAACACGGATGTTGTTTGATGCCTGGGTGTACTGACATCTTGCTCCCTTTTTCCAGTTTATGCAGATGCAGTTCACATCTTCCACAGTAAGCATCCTCTGTTTTGTAAAACAAAAGTGAAAGACAAAGAGCCCCAGAGTAAATACAATCTGGAATTGATTCATGTTGCTTATTACAGCTCAACTCGCAAATGCTGCATGAATTTGTATGAGAACCTTTTAAAGAACCAAAACCTTAGCGTATATATGTGGTCATGACTGCTCACAGGCATATGTGTGCTCACACAATGCTGAAACGGGGTATTATGCTGTAGTAATGGCCACACCATCATTTCAGATACCCATAGTGATATTTTTTGCAGAAGGGAAAACAATATAAATAGTGATACTTTTAATTTTTAATTTCTATCAAACTTTGTATGTAACACTAAATAAGAGCTCTTCTCATGTACTGATTCACTTAAGTGGTTGAAAAGTACTTCTTTAATTCAAATTCAATTAGAACTTATATTTTTTATGATAAAAATCAAGATTTTTTTTTATGATACAGATTTGTAAGAAAGAGAGCGTCTGTTTTTATAAGAGGGTGCATAAATTGCTGGTGTCACTGAGTATTCATCTGCAATTTATGGCTTTATTTGGGAATATGTATATACAGGCAGATACTTTATTGTCTGCCACAGAATCTGAAGCTTTGCTTTTCTCCTCTGAGCTGGATTGTTCGGCTAAATGTATTTTGCTTTAGCAGCTTTGGTATATTTATTCTTCTTTGCTTTATGTTCAGACATCATAAAGCATCCAAAACAAATCACAACCGGCAAAGGGCAAAAAAGGCAATAAAAGTGTCTGTGGCTGTGTTAGAAGTGGTAAAAATAAATGTGCAGATAGGATTATTACTTAATGGGAAGGAAAGTAAATAACAGATAAACACAGGAGGGCTGATGTATTCACAGTCCCATTTGCTCCCCTCTTTACTGAAAAGATTCACTGAGACCAATTTATTTTTTTTTTAAAATAAACTGGAGTACTGTGATAAAACATAGGCTACCATAACTGAGAAAGAATTTAAAGATTTATCTCATCTGAGAGGGAATCAGAGACTGAGGCAGCAAAGGGAACCTTGTGGTTGGTGTCTGCTGCAGGCTGCCTTATCAAGGGGAGCATATTGACAAAACCTTCTTACTCCAGCTACAGGAAGCATCGTGCTTGCAGGCTCTTGTCCCACTGGGGGACTTCAACCACCCCAATGTCTGCTGGAAGAGTAGCATGGTGAGCTGTAGGCAATCCAGGAGGCTTGGGGGTACTGGTGGATGAAAAGCTGGACATGAGCTGGCAATGTGTGCTGGCAGCCCAGAAGGCCAACCGTATCCTGGGCCGCATCAAAAGAAGCGTGGCCAGCAGGGCGAGGGAGGTGATTCTGCCCCTCTACTCTGCTCTCGTGAGACCCCACCTGGAGCCCTGCGTCCAGCTCTGGGGCCCTCAGCACAGGAAGGACATGGACCTGTTGGAGCGGGTCCAGAGGAGGGCCACAAAAATGGTCAGAGGGATGGAGCACCTCTCCTGTAAGGAAAGGCTGAGAGAGTTGGAGTTGTTCGGCCTGGAGAAGAGAAGGCTCTGGGGAGACGCTATTGCAGCCTTTCAGTACTTAAAGGGGGCCTACAAGAAAGATGGGGACAGACTTTTTAGCAGGGCCTGTTGTGATAGGACACGGGGTAATGGTTTTAAACTAAAAGAGGGGAGATTCAGACTAGATAAAAGGAAGAAATTTTTTGCGATGAGGGTGGTGAAACACTGGCACAGGTTGCCCAGAGAGGTGGTAGATGCTCCATCCCTGGAAACATTCAAGGTCAGGTTGGACGGGGCTCTGAGCAACCTGATCTAGTGGAATATGTCCCTGCTTGTTGCAGGGGGGTTGGACTAGATGGCCTTTAAAGGTCCCTTCCAACCCAAGCTATTCTATGCTTCTCATGCCTCTACACCCTCGTGAAAATTGATCAAAAGGATTTAAGGGACTAGCTGAAGCAAAATCTGAGCTATATCTTGTTGATTGTGGGGTTCTAGAAAAAAATCTCTATTCTAAGAGTGGAAAAAGGAAGACTAAGAATTACAAAAACATCAATCTGCTTCTGATACTTTGAACAAATTATTAACTAACAAATCCAAAAATCATTCCTCAATGTTCATGAAGTGATAATCGATAGATTTTTTTTTTTCAATGAGAAACTGTCAAATAAATTCAATTTATCTTCTTTTGACCTAATATCAAAGAGAAGCAGGTAGCAGGGATGCAATAAATGTGAAGTACCTTGATTTTAGTGAACTTTCACATTGTTTCTCACAGTGTTTTCATAAGTAAAATAGGAATATAGAATTCAAACAAAACTGTAGTTGTGCGAATAGTTAGTTGATAAACCTTATCCTAGAAGTGTCATAAGCCATCAATTGGTATTTTGCTCTGTGCCATGTGACTAGTAGCTTTCATTAGCTGCAGCTGCAATAGAAAGCATGTTTATAGGATTTGAGAAGACCACCAGCTGGAATTGCAACTTTGTATGGGGACAGTATTAAGAAAAAACTTGGGGAATTAGCACAAAAAATCAATAAAGCAGAGTGCTTTACTTTGTTTGCTGTTCATAGCAAGTCCTAGATTGAAAGCTTTGTTCGAAATGATCCCCTTGAGGTCCCTTCTGGATGTATGTTTCTACAGCTTTATTGCTTCTGTTAATGGTCAGCCCATGCCCTCAGCCTCCAACACCTATGTGGTAGCCCATACCTCTGTGATGGACTTTCCACATCTAGAAACCTGTCTCTTGTCTGGAGAAACATGATGCAGTTGCTGTGAGCCTGCAGTTATTTCTGGAATTGCCCTAGTTCCTAAGCAGTATCTTGCTCCAGGGTTTGTGTTGTTTTTACCAAGAAAAAGGACACTTATTGAGCCAAATCCTGTTGTCACTCACTTCACTAAAGAGAAGAACTGAATGCATTTTACCTCATGCTTTTCCTAAAGGTGCAGAGCTACATATTTAAGTTGCTAAAAATTTGAAAATGTGGCCTCTTTTCCCCTTCTTATCACTACAAGTACCATGAGAGAAATGGGTTAGTAAGAGTGAAAACAGACAATTAATAGGAATGTGTTTATAAATGCCAACTAAGGAACTTCACAGAGACAGGATTTCCCTGTGGCACCTACCTTGCACATGTCTGACAGCCAGTTTTCTTCTCCGTCATCTATAAATCCGTGTGTGATAAATCTGGTCATCCTGCTTGCATTAAAATTTGAGTACCCAATTGTTGCAGCATCAACTGCAGAGATCTCCTGTTGTAGATATTAAATTAGTAAACATTTAAATATGCTTTCTGTAAATAGCTTCGCAAAATTGCAAAGACCTGAACTATGCTTATCTGTACAGGTGTTTAAAAGTTATGCACTGTTAAACTCATCTGCAAGTTCACATGACTACAGCTTAAGGTCTGTATCTCCATTCAAAGCAAGCTTTGACACATATTTTAGAGCAGTGAAAACTTTACTTTTAATGTGTTTTCATCTTATCTGTGGGGGAAAAAAATTACCCAATGATTTTAAAAATGGACAGTCTCCCAGTACTTCTCAGTGGCCATACAGAAAACAGGGGCGTGTGCTGCTTTGGGAGGGCTGGAGGAGTATGAGAGTTCTGCCTCAAAGACCTTGCCAAGCAGCCAGAAGAGGTCGTCTCTTGAATAAAGTAGAGATTTGGCCATTTCTAACACTTTCCAGGAACACAGCTGGAGTCCGTGTTTATTTACGCTTTTTGCCTGTGATTTACTAATGTTTAAAATGCAATAGTTCTTACTTGAAAGTTATTCAGATTTTGTCTTGTGTACAGGAGGAAATGAATGTCTATCTTTTCTGAATCCCAGGGTAACTTATGGATTGGTCTTTCCGCCGTCCCAGACCATGGTATATCATCTGAGAAACATCCAAGCCTTTCATAGCAAACTTCTTTGCCTGTAGCACACAGATTGGATCAATAATATGTGAATGAGCACAGAAGTGGAGCAGGCTATTCATAACTCATAGCATCTCTTCTCTAGAGGTCTCTTGGTCTCTTGAAAATCCTACAGTTTACAGAAAGCAAAGACCAGCAGTTGCCATCTCTCAGATCTTCAAAGGCTACAGTTTATCCCAAGAAAAGAAGCCACCCTCTTGCTCATCAACAAAGTATTCAGTGGAGTTCCTCCGTGAGTATCCTGTACCATACCTTGGGTATGTTTCCCCAGCTGTGTTTTGCCTAAGGCAAAGACAGCTGATGAGTTTCTCCTAATACCAAGCCAAGATATTGCAAATAATCAGCAATAACTTGAGGCTGTGCTGAACAGCTGACTACGCTGTACACAAGAAGTCTTATACTATACAAGCCAGTGCCTTCTGCTGAATATAAAGCTATACCCTCATTAGATGCCTCTGTCCCCCACCCCCAGCTTTTTCTCCATTTCCATCGCTAAAGAAGAGTACAACAAATAATTTCCTAGGTTTTGTAGAGCAATAGCTTTTCTCCGAGGTACAAAATACCAGCATTTCTTGCATGCTACTAGGGTGGGATTTCCAGAGTGGAGAAGGGGAAAGACAACGTGCACACACACAGTCATCTCGCCATTCTTGTCTAGGAAACTGAACCGTATAACTTCAGTGAGTTTTAAGGCACCGTAGTGTAGAATGATATCTCACAAAATATAGCAGCATAGAAAGGCTATATAAATACTAAGCCCATATGCTTACCTTCTGCTGCGCTGAGCAGAAATAGTGCAAGTATCCAAATTCCAAGCATCTAGAACAGCAGAAAAAGAAGCAGCTAGGATTTGCTAACCCACTTGATTAGCAAGCGCACTTAGCTTTCTGGTGCTGAATATTCTCAAGGCGAAAAGGGTGCTGTGCCTGTCTTCTCTGCAACCTATGACCACTGCATGTATGAGTCAGCTTTATGTTTGCTTGCTCCTCTAGAGGTTGTGTAGCTACTAAAGCACAGCTTAAATCCAGAGTGATTTTTGTCCTGTTGATGCTACGCTTCTAATTGTATGTGTAGTAGCTACTTTAGAACTAGCATAAGGATGCCTATGTGAGCTGCCATTCCCCTTTATACTGCTGTGTCTTGGGAAGCCACATACCTGATGAGGTAAAGGAAAAACTCCAAAGCTTGAACTACTTACAATGCAGTCTTGAAGCTCCGTGCACTAATGTGCAAACTTTGCGTGTACTTTTATAGTCTGCCTTATCCTTGGAAATGTTCCCAGAAAGATAGGAAAACTTATTTCAGATTATAGTTTATAGCTAAGCTGGAAAGCAACTTTAATGCTTGGTTTCTCTGGAAACTCCAAAATCCATGGATATAGATATCTTGAATTGGTGTGCTGGAGCCCAGAATAGGATTGGAGCTCCAGAGGTAGGGTAATTCCCAGGCAGCAACACATCAGGAGTAGGACATTAAAAAGAATTTTGTGGCTCTGGAGTCTGTGTGGCAGTGCATTTCAGGGCTTGTCTTGGCAGGGAAGGCTTTTGTTTTTCGTGTCGTGTAGCTGGGATGTAGTGTTCTACTGGGGGAGTTAGTAGGGAACCACATCATCTTTAAGTCCCCTCCCTTGCTCTGCATAAAGTGGCTTTGGATGCTGCTGTGCTTCTGGGTCTTTTGTGCCTGTTTCCCGACATCAGCTCAATTTGGGGAAGCCTTATCTCTTTAGGAAAACTTCTTAGTGGGTCTGGTAGGTCTTTTCATAGTGAAAGAGCCTGACCTTCTCCTGGTGTCCCTTTCATTTCCTTGTTGAAATAAGTAGATGTAGAAGGATAGTTGTTGACCCCTTTGGATCCTTTCTTTACTACCCATGTAATGCAATTTTTGAGAAAGCCCTGCTCCTCCGAGTGATGAACTGAGAGCAAACATGCTGGAAATATATATCAATAACATACAAAATTCCTCCAGAAATAGCAATATGGCTGCTTTGTCTAGCAATGTTATGGAACTCAGTAGGTTGTTCTACTACAGACGTCAACTAAAAGGTGAAAAACAGCCTGTGCAAATGAACAGGACTAGGTCTGGGAACCCCATGGTCCTGTTCATCTCTAGAAGGCTGTAAGTGAACTCAAGAAGAAATGACACCTCAGCTAACGCTTCACCTAGAAACCTTTGTCAGCTTGGCTGTGCTTTTTGGCTGTGGCCACCTATCTTTACAGAGCTGACATTCCCTCATCTCCACCTCTGGGAACAACCAAATGGATACCAGCTGTGTGCACAGGTATCACACTGCTAGCATTCATGCTAGTGGAGTTTATTTCTTTATGTAGTAGGGAAGTTTTTAGTTTTTTCTAAAATATCATCTTTGATACTAATTTAGAGCTCAGTGCTTCCATCCTTGGTTGAAGCAGCATTTTAGTTTGTAAATGTGTTCATATTGGTGATACAGGGGAATCAGTACATGCCCTAGTACACTGATAAGTTTTAACACTTGTTCAAAATGTTCAAAACTTGTTCAAAAGTTTTAACACTTGTTCAAAAACATTTGTTCACTTAATTTAAGAGGTGGTGGAAAAGATTTGAGTTAGGATTTTATCATAGTTAGTCTGCTGCTCTTATTCAACACTAATAAAGCAGGGCAAACTGAGTGACTAGACAATTCCTTTGCCTGTGGTCAGATGGGTTTCAGCTGCTTGCTTCTCCTTTGGGAAGAAGGGGTAGGGCTACCATGCATGTCCTTCAGTATGATGCAGGATGCTTGCTATGCCTGGAGGAGCTGTTCTGGTCCTGGCGGCCTCACAGTCAGGGGCTGTTGGAAGAAAAATGGCTTTCAAGAAAGAAAGCAACAAATAAGGGCCTTGCTATATTTCTGCAGTCCTGAAGAAACTGTAGTCTGGGATAGGAAGCAGGCAGAGGAGAGGACTGGATTTCCTGCGCTGCAGGATGCCGTGGCTCTCCCCTGGGACACAGCGCGGTGCTTCCCGGCATTGTTCACGCTTCCCTTGCCACCTCTCAAGTCCCCGGGGGACCTGCAGTACTCGGGCCGGCAGAGCTCTCTTGGCTGAACCTCAGACTTGTGTTTAATTATGCATCTGATTTCATAAAGGCATCATTAATGTTTAGTCCAGGATACAATACTGACTGCTGTTCTTTTTTTAAAAAAATATTTCATTCAGATATTTATACTCATTATAAATGTTGTAATATTGTATTTCTATTCCTATTTCTTAGCAGTTTATTTGCCTAAGTGCTTGTACATCATTTATCAAACATGGGGAAATGGGAGTGAATAAATGACTAACTCTCTCTTCCTGCTCATTAACTTAGAGTTTGGTTTTTATACTTGGACAAAATATCCACTGCCTTGCTCTCTTAAAGCGTCAGGTGGCTCACTCATGCCATGCTTTGCAGAGTAGTAGTGTTTTAATGTGAAATAGTCAATCCCAGGTTTTGCAAAGCCTGGAGTTACTCAAAGTCAGAGTTTCTCTCTAGGATTGACAGTGGCCACAGCAAAGTTATCTGTTTGAAATGAAACAGTAGCCGGGTGCTTTGATTTAGCCATTTTGTTTCTTCCGAAGTCGGGAACACTTGAGGTTTGGCTTTGCCCTTTGCTTCCCTGAAGCTGCAGTGTCCAAAGCGCTGCTCTGACCTGCTGTCAGGAATGTCCTGGGCTTGTTCTGTTCCTGCCTCGTCCCACAGCATCTTCTGAGGGCAGTGATCTTGTGTGGGGTTGGAAAGTTTTGCGCGATAGGTAAGGCTGCAGAAAGGAGGTGTTTGGGACCGTTCCCAGCCCCAGCAGCGTGCTGGGGTAGTGTGCTGCCTTGAGAGTGTTCGATGGACAGAAAAAATGGCAAATTACCAATGTGGTAGGAAACGGTTCTTACCTGCTTTTCTTGAGGCACTAGTAGAGTAAGACTGTGCAGCATTATAAATGGATTTTAACATATATGATTTCCAGTTGCTTCTATAGTTAAGAACACAGTAAATCTGGTTCAAATGTGAAAAACATTGACAAGTGTGTTGGCAAAGAACTGAAAAAATAAAGGAAGCAACAGGCAGTTTGAGTTTTGCTTTAATAGCCTTGTGTACCAACGTTCCCATGCACAGGACCGGCTGTTTGCTCAGCTGCCGTGTACGGAACAGTTGTACTCGGTGACCTTTAGCAAGGTGTAAGTAACTGGGGAACTCCATATGTCACAGTTCCATGGCCACAAAAAGCTAACCTGGGAAGAAAAAAATATTTGAATCAAGATTTAGTTATCTATTTTCCACCAAAGAAAAATGAAAAGTTGTCAGCTATCACCTTGAGGGTTGTTAGTTCGACCCATAATTCCATGTGAGCCTTCCTAAAAGCCTGCTGTACAGAATATTAGCATCTGCATATTAACAGTAACAATGTGAATTTCCTTCTTTTGGGGGACCAGCTGTAAAATTTGAGTTTTAACATGAATTAATCTCTAGATTCACAAATGTAGAGCTCTAGATAAAAAGTCAGAAAGGCATCTTGCTAAGCTCCCTTTATTCAGGCTAGGCCCTTAACTAGCTTGCCCCAATCAAAGCTTTGCAGCTTTTTTTTTAGCAGCTCACACTGAAAGGGATTTCATCAGCTCTCTAAATAATCCATGCCAATGCCAAACTATAAGGAAGTTTTTTTCCTAATATCTAACAATATTTCTTCTGTTGTAAAACACGTCAATTAAACCTTGACCTAAACCCAGCAGATATGTGGAATAGTTGACTATGACCCTTCACAGAGAGCTCATGCATGTTTTTATGCTCCTCTCCAGGCTTTTCCTTATTGAGAAACACGTTTCCTTCAGCTGCTCTACACAGGTCAAGTTTTCTAAATCTCTTTTGCTTGTTTTTCAGACATCTGTCTGTGTGCATTGTTCCTGAAGTGTACTCTCCAAACTTGAAAGTGACCCTGCTTCTGGTTACAGTCTTGCTCCAGTTATTCAAATTAGAATAATTACTCCCTGGATCTGTACAATAATCCTGGTAATGCACCTGGGAATGAGACTTGCTTTATCTTTCTTTGTAATTGTTTTGCTGGGACAAAACAGTATACATTCCAACTTATTCACTGTTGTAGTCCTTTCCAGACGGTTAATCCCTGGTTTGTACTCGAACATTTGATTTTCTGTCCAAAGTGTAATATCTTGTCCTTGTCATTACTGAAATTCACATTGTTGATTGCAAACCATGTGTCCATTTTACTAAGACCATTTTTCAATCCTGTCTTCCAGAGTTTTTGCACTCTTTTCCCATTCTTTCTGACCTGTAAAGGGGAGATACTTACCTATGCCCATCTTCTCCGTGAATTATATCGACTGTTTCTGCTCCCAGTCTTGCCCAGAGCAGAGTAAATATGGCTTTATTCCAGAGAAATTCTTTTTTTGTAGTATTTTTGGGGTTAATTTCAACATCAAGGTATTTTGTATAAACTTGGTCTTGCGAGAGGACCCCACTGCAAATAGAATGAAGACAGCAATGCTAAGTTTAACAGTTTAGAGATTACTGAACGAAATCACGTTCTCCACGAGATTTCGGTTTTCCCCTTTGTTACAACAGAAATTTGCACTTTTGCTGTTCTTTTTAACAGCACAGGATGCTGGACCGGGGCTCTGGGGTGTTATGCTCTGAACAGGGAGAGGATGAAAAACAATACTGAAAACTTTAAATGTGGATGTGGCAGGAGACCACTGGGCGGTGGTACGGGTGAGGCTGGGGCTGCCTCCAGCGCCCAAGTGTGCCGAGTTTTGCAGATATCGCTGCAGGGAGAGCTCCAGGCAAGGCTTTCAGGGAGGATTTTTGTAGATGAG